ATTCCTTTTGTAGCGGATTGCAAAGTGTATTCTTTTGGTTGTGGTAGACAACACATTACTTCGCATGCGCGGCAACATGTTTTTTTTTGTTTTTGCGTCGGATTGCAACATGTATTTTTTTGTTGCAGATTTCCATGGGGCCACGGAGCGCTGTATTGGGTGGGGGAAGTGCATGCGGGCTGTGCCACTGAGGCCTTCGGTGGAGCTCCCTATGGGGCCACGAAACGTTGTACTGGGGGGGGAACCTCATGAGGGCGGTGCCACTGGGGCCTTCGGTGGAGCTCCCTATGGGGCCACGAAATGTGTGAGGGGTGTGGCAACATGGGTGTGGGGGACGCATGAGGGCACACCCACCGGGACCTTCGGTGGAGCTTTCTATAGGGCCATGGAGCGTATGAGGGATATGCCGACATGGGTGGTGGGGAGGCATGCGGGCGCAGCCACTGGGGCCTTCGGTGGAGCTCCCTATGGGGCCACGGAGCTCGTGAGGGGTGTGCCGAAATGGGTGGTGGGGGGGCATGCGGGCGCAACCACTGGGGCCTTCGGTGGAGCCCCCTATGGGGCCACGATCCTTGTGCGGGGTGTGCTGAAATCTGGTGGTGGGGGAGGCGTGTGCGCACAGCCACTGGGGCCACGGAACGTGTGAAGGGTGTGCCGAATTGGGTGTGGGGGAGGCATGCGGGCGCAGCCACTCGGGCCTTCGGTGGAGCTCCCTACGGGGCCACGACGCGTGTGCGGGGTGTGCCGAAATGGTTGTGGGGGAAACATGCGGGCGCAACCACTGGGGCCTTCGGTGGAGTTCCCTATGAGGCCACGAAGCGTGTGAGGGGTGTGCCGATGCTAGTGACGATGATGGTGATGATGACGCCGATGCTAGTGAATATGATGGTGATGATGACGCCGGTGGCCATGATAATGCTGATGATGATGACGATGCTGGTGACGCCGCTGATGATGATGATGATGGCGATGACGCTAACGATGACGATCATGCTGCTGTTGCTGATGATGATGATGCTGATGATGATCGTGATCTCGATGATGGTGTGGTGACGGCGAGGATGAGGATGATGCTGGTGATCATTTTGATGATTCTGCTGATGAGCAAGATGCTTATACTGGGAGGAGGGAGGGGGAGAAGGAAGGAAGGAGAGGAACGCGCGGCGCCGTCTCTCTCTCTCTCTCTGTCTCTCTTTCAAAGCGAGGACCCAACACCACAGGATGGTTGGGGGACAAATCATTGACAATTGTGAAAGTTGGTGTGTTTCCGGTGCTTTCGGTATCGAATGCTGCGAACACTTGTAAAACAAACACGGCGTTTTCAGCATCCAGAGCTCCAGCATGCTGTGTTTTACAATGTTTTTGTACCTCCTGAGGCCGAACACATTATACGACACAGCGTTGTGCAGCTCAGGATGCTGAGCATATGTTTTTTTTTTTGTTCCCAGCTTTCGATGCCAATAAACTTAAAGCAAAGCAACTTCCAGTATTCATTGTTTTTTTTCTTGTGTTCACCGGTTTCCCCCAAGTACCCCTTGACAAAAGAAATCAATTTGTAATCCGCCACGAAGGAATTTCTTTGTAATCAGCCAGAAAGGAATCCCTTTGTAATCCGCCACAGAGAGAATCAATTCGAAATCCGCCACCAAAGAAATCCTTATCTAATCGGCCGCAAAAGGAATCCTCTTGTAATCTGCCACAAGGAACCAATTTGCAATCCGCCACAAAAGGAATTGTTTTATAATCCGCCACAAAAGGCATCCGTTTGTAATCCAACACAAAAACATGAAACTGTAATCAGCCAGAGAAGAAAGTCATTTGCATTCCGCCACAAGGGGAATCAACTTGTAATCCGCCACAAGGAATCTATGTGTCATCCGCCACAAAGGAATCAACTTGTAATCCGCCGCAAGAGGAATCCGTAGGTAATCCGCCACAGGGGGAATCAATTTTGAATCCGCCACACAAGGAATCAAGTTGTACTCCGCCACAATAGGGATCCATTTGTATCCCGCCACGAATGGAATCAAATTGTAATCTGCCAAAAGAGGAACCCTTCTGTAATCCGCCGCAGAAGGAATCAATGTGTAATCTGCCGCCAACGGAATTCGTTGGTAATCCCCCACAGAGAGAATTGAAATCCGCCACAGAGGGAGTCATATTGTAAGGCGCCACAAGAGGAATCCTTTTTGCACTCCGACACAGAAGGGGATTCTTGTGTAAAGCGCCACAATCGGAATCGTTCTGCAATGCAAGATCGCAACATAAGGTTTGAACTTTAATCCTTGCATCGAAAGAAACAGTTTGGAATCCGCAACAGAATACTTGTGTAAAGCCGCCGCAAGAGGAATTCGTTTCCAAGGCCGCCACAGAAGGAGTCGCTGTGTGGTCCCCCACAAAAGGAATCGTTTTGTGCGAGGCCGCCACCAAAGCAATTCGTTTAGAGTCTGCCACACAATGGTTTTCTCGGTACGACCGCCATGAGAGGAATCAGTGTGCTACCCATTGCAACAGGAATCGCAGTGGAACTTTCCCTCAATGTAGCCAACAAGTAATCCGCGAGGAAAGGCAAGAAGGGAGGTGCGAGGAGGACGGACAAATCGGGAGAATGGCGTTGCGAAAGGCTCAGAATTTTTGGAAAACACGGTCGGGGAGTCAAGCGGGAACAGAATAGCGGATGGAGGGAGAGAAAATGGAGATAGAGGGGTGGAGGAAGAGGGGGAGAAGGGAATCTGACGAATAGGAGGATGCGGACCGTCTTGGGGAGGGGGCGGGGGAGGAGGACGAGGGAACCTGAATTAACAGTATCTAAGGGCTGAGGGTGAGAAATCAGAGGGACATGCGCAGCAGACCAGTAGTGAGAGTGCCGCGCGCTGTGCTTAGTCCGTGACAGTATTGCTTCACATTCTATTCATCGCAGTGCGCATAAGTATGGTAGTCGAGGTAGTAGAAGCCGTAGTATTAGTATAGATGTAGTAGTAGTAGTCGTAGTAGTAGTAGTAGTAGTAGTAGTAGTAGTAGTAGTAGTAGTAGTAGCAGTAGGCGTAGTAGTAGTAGGCGTAGTAGTAGTCGTCGTCGTCGTCGTCGTCGTCGTCGTCGTCGTCGTCGTCGTAGTAGTAGTAGTAGTAGTAGTAGTAGTAGTAGTAGTAGTCGTAGTCGTAGTCGTAGTCGTATTAGTAGTCGTAGTATTCGTAGTAGTAGTAGTAGTAGTAGTAGTAGTAGTAGTAGTAGTAGTAGTAGAAGTAGTACTAGTAGTCGTGCTAGCAATAGACGTGGGAGTAGTAGTAGTAGTGGTAGTAGTAGTAGTA